ACAGCAATCCACTTGAGCATTGCTTAGGTGACTGCCATGATTGGAAGGAGTAGCTCTGTCTCTTTCCTGAAGAATACTGGAAGTAGCTGAAATTCTTATGTGTTCTGTAATTCACCCTCTTTCTTCACATTTGTATCTCACTCTTGTGGGATTCAGTATTGGCTACCAAAAGAAGGGGGGAAGATTTGGCAAAATGGCAGCACTGAGGCAGAGGTACAATACAAAGGTGCTGACAGCCAAAAACCTCAACTTCCTTTGTTTAGGTGATGTGTGTAGCAAAGCATTGAATCAATATGGACTGTTTCTCTTCAAGATTAAATTATTGTACGAAAAATGAGCTATTTTTAGAAGGCCTTTTATGAATAGGTAGTGCTTTTTTGGCTGTTGCATTGGGAATTTTGTTTCTATTCAGTCTGAATTCTGTGATGGGGTAAGTGAAGCTAAACGAGGTGCATGCTTTTTGGAAGAAAAAAGCAGAACAGAAGCAGATGGTGAGGGGGAGAAAGTAAAAATAGGAAACATGAAGCAAATGTATTGTTAGAGATGCTTTTTTTTTCTAGTGAAAATGCACTAGCTTATTGGTTTGATTACGCTGTTTGGTCCTTTCAACTTTTTTTTTTTTTACTTCATGTTTTCTGCATGAAAGTTTTTATTGCATGTTAGGTACCACACAGCATAATTTAGTTGCTTTTTAATATTAAATTATTATTAATTCTTTGCAGATGTGATAACTTAGATGAAAGACTGATGATATGAAGCTCGAGTGAAAGAATTTAAATGTGATGAATCATCTTTAGCAGCAATTGATAAACATAAGAAATTCTGCTTGTGTGTTACTTCATTTACAGGGATCAGGATGCAATGAGAATGCAGGTCTTGCTAGACTCCTGTACAGCTAATTTTTCTTAAAATTTCTTCAAATAGTTCCTGTTTTGTGTCGTGAAGGCCCAAATGACTTTGAGCTCAGTTTTGAAAATGAGCATGCTTTCTGAAAGTCTGCACCTTAAACCTTTGTGTCAATTTATCTTTTGCATACTGTAATATACCAGGTTGTTCTGAAAGCATTAATGACTTTAATGCAAGCAAAGACTCTTGCTGGAATGAGTTGTGTGGTGATAAACCTTGTGGTTTTCAACTTTATTCTTCGTTCTCTATTAAATAGTTGCCATTGATTCTGTTTCAGGTTAGAAGAGAAACAGACTGGTTAAAGCTATTGGTGATGAGAGAGTTGGTTGTTGTGGGGGGCAATTAATATCATTGCTGTGCTATATTTTTTAATGGGGTATCAGTATTGCAGTGGAACGTGGAAATAACACTTTGTCCTAGTGTCATAAATCACTTTTTGTCTAGGAATAACACTTTTGTAACAAATGGCTCAAAAGGCAAAGTGAAGAATCACTGCAGTAGGATATTACAAAGCCCAAAATACTAAGTGGGGTCTAAAAGGGATTCAGTTCGTGGAATATAGGTCTTCCCGTGCCTGCTTAATGCAATGGTTTGGATTCACCCTCTTGTCTTCAAAGTTCTTAAATCACTGACAACCGGAAACTGGGAGAACATACCAGATAAAGGCCCGAGCATCCCCATCTGTTCTGGGAACAGGCTACTTAGCTCGATAAACTTGGTCGGTGTGGCTTTTACACTATTACATAAATTACTTGCTATATGAAGAAGTTTCCATTAGCATTCCCAGGGAGTAGTTTCTCAATCCCATCTCACAAATATAAACATGAAATAAATGGTGTAATTAAAAACATTGCTGGGTTTACTGATTGCTTTTGTAGCAACACAGGGCATTTTATATTGAAGATTACATTCTTTAGGAGACAGTGGGCTTCATAAGTTTGTAAGGTATGTTACTGCTATGTTTATATTTGGAAGCTAAATACGCCGGAGCTCAAAGATAAGATGTTTGCTCTGGAAACTAATGAAGCATAGTAAAATATTTATCAGCAGAAAGGTGATAGCACAGCCAGGATTTTCAGTGAGAAGTTGATAGTAAGAGGAGAGAGTGAGTTGAAGTAATGTTGCAGAGAGACTGCTATGAACTAGATAAACCTCTGAAATTCTTTCCCATGGCTGCAGTTGCGGTTCAGGAGGAGGCAGTGTGCTGCACCTGGTGCCCTCAGTTACATTTCTTTGCATTGCTGCCGAGGAAAATGAACCTTAACCTTTGCTGAGCCTGGGGTACTGGCTTTGAAATTCCATTCCTAAGTGGCAGCTGCTTCTGCTGCTTTATAACACACGCTTCATTGTACTGGGAGTGCAGGTTTTCTAAAGGACTGGTGTGAAGCGGTTCGGGGGCAAAATACTAACCTTACTGACATGGACATCCCAGTGGTAAAATCAACATGAATATAAATATTGGTGGGATTAAAAGCATTCCCTTGCTGCCTCTGCCACACAGCCTGAATCAGCTGAAGCAGGAGAAATTAACACTGGCTAGCAGACCTCCCTAATGAGAGGAGCAGGAAAAAATCACAACTGTGGCAAGATACATTAAGTTAAAAGCCTTGGGTTTTTTCTTACCTACTAATGCATTATTGAGAACACAAACATGCACCTTTATTTTTAAATGCTGGTTTTAACTTCACAAGCATGCGTAGCAGCAGTAGCTTACTATGCGTAAAAGCTGAGTCGCTGCATATTTGCTTTGGTTTCAAAACTGCCTGGTAGAAGTAAATGCTGCTCGTACCCTATTGCTTCTCCCAGCAGTTTTGTGATTTCAAGATGAGCAGGAACTGAAAAGCACACAGCAACCTTTAGTGCGTAACACAGTTCCATTATTTGGAAAGTGAATCTGCTTACACAGACAATAACTGTATTTGTGACGGCAATCAGAAGAAATAAGTATGAAAAGCCTCTTAGAGTCACATTTACTTGGTAACAGTATGACCAAGTGTGTATTTTACAGAAATAATGGTGATAGAGGAGGAATTACCTCATATTTTATATGAAAAGGGTAAATTACAAGGATTATCTTTATATACATGTATCACTGAGAACTTGTGCTATTTTGAGAGAACCTATAATTATGCTACGGTAATTCTTTTTGAACTTCTCTATTAATTCACACACTAAAATGTGTGTGACGATGGCTTTTTTTCTTCAGTTCTTTATTTTCAAATCATATAAATGTTGGACAAAAAGCAAACAAAAGATTCGGTTTTAGTCAAGTTATTCGGCTGATTCAGCAAACGCAAATAAATGTGCAAGTCTTCAGTCGTACTAGTGCTCAAGCTAACTTGTTTGACTTCTTACTGGGAATCTACCGACAGTAGAAATAATACATTGGTGGGTGTGATTGTCACTCTCATTGTTTAGGTAGAATTATCCATAAATATTGCTCTGTCTTTTTAGTAATTTATTTTAAAATGCAGTATATGGAAACACAAGGGCGTGGAAGTGCGAAGGAACGGGCAGAAAGCCTGCTGCGTACGGTGTCATAACACATTGTGACAGCACGGATTCCAAACTTACGTTTCCTTTTCCTTGTGTCACTGACTGAGTATTTCCCTTTCAACAGCGAAGTCGAACTTCAAACATTTTCGGCTCTTCAGAGGGTGATTCTAGTTTTGTCTCCAAGTCTTTCAGAAGGCATTAATACAGCATTTCTGCAATTCATTCAGGCAATTGCCGCTTGGAAAAACAGGGTATTTTTATTGCTCATAACACATTTGCTGAAGTTTATTATTAAATGAGTATTTAGAAATCTATTGCGCTGCTTCCTCTCAGCTGCAGTAACTTGCAGGTGCCAGTTTTTACCTCGGTATCCTTAAATGATCTTTCAGTAGAGGTGATCGTAACGAACTGCACGTTTTCACATTTAAAAAAGGCTTTGAACCGATTTCCTTAAAACTGGTACTTGACCTTTTTACTTAACGAACCTCGCCAACATCCTGCGACGCGTTACGGGGCGGCCAACGAGGCCTTTTCTCGGGCGGGTCCGGACCGGGCTGCAGCACCGCGGCTCTCGCTGTGGAGGGGCTCGGGGGGCAGAGCCGCCTGGCGCTGCG